GGCGAGACCTCACAAGCAAGCCAATTGAACTTTAATATCCACTTGAATCTGCAGACTGGGATTTTACTACTAAAACCTTATCAAGAAGTCAATAACAGGATGTTTAGTGTCCAGGTCGAGGTTTTACTGTTTGTCTTCTATCTGTGTAGTGGAGTGAGTCAGTGCGTGGAGTAGCCTTGGTCCTGATACAATCAACCCGAGGGTCACTAATTAATGGACCAACTGTTGTTGGACCTATGGACCAGTGGTGTGCTGGTGCCACGCGTCAGTCCATGACCTTATACACGAGCCCATTTCTGTCCAACCGTTTGATAATTTCTCGCCCTGCAAAAAAATTCTGGTGTTTGTCTTGGAAGTTATTTAGATTCTGTCTAATTTGCACTCAGTCTAGTTTTGGACTGTTTGAATCGGTTCGTGTGGTTTTAAATTGTTTAAAATTTTTCTACATCAGACTTTTATTTCTAAGGATATAATATGAGATTTTTTCATTCACTATATTTCAGTGTATATATTTTTGAGTGATTTTCAATTGAAGTAGGCCTAAATGCAAAGTATTTGATATCGTCAGATTAAATCCTACTTGGTGAACATTGAACCACAGATACAGTATAACATGTTTTACGTTACGACCTAAATTTTAAACTGATATGATCCATAAATGTTGACACTTAGGTGTTTTCGCGAGAATTTCTAACGATCCATAAAAGCTGTTCACTGTACTGCATGTAATTTGCAAAAGTTTCTACCTACGCAAGTTAAATAAGAGTTGCAAACTGCTTCTACGCGACAATACCACTAGACGAGGTTGGTTTCAAGATTTAACATTGCAACTTCAATACTTAACTGAATTTCAACTTCGTCGAAACTGTTGTATACACTACTTCTGTATTGTGTTCTTAAGTACTTTAAAACACAATTCACTTAAATCGCGACCATAAATTGTATAAACCTTAGTTTAGAGATATAATTTAAATATTGACTTTTGAATTTTTATAGGTTGTGTAAGTTAGGTTCTATGTAAGCTAGTATGCAGAAGGATACATCAAAAGGGAAAACGAGTTTTTCCTGGTCTGGTTTTTACACTACAGTTTTTCATTAGGTGACCCCGACCTAACTTTCACGAAAAATTGTATTGCATAAATGTTATTTCATTTATTTTTGTTCGATCCATACATATATTTATTAACTCGAAACAAACGTTTTTAGGAAGAGCAGACCAAATTCCGTTTTGTAACAATTTTTATATTTGATATTTTGTATTATAATCATTTTGAGAACTACGGACTAATTTATCAAATATTGGAAAAAATAAATTTAATCAGTTTACCTAATAGCTGACCTTATACTATTTTAAGAAAAACTACACATTTTAAATTGTTGTAAACCAGTCATACCGGACCACAATTAACGATTTCTTCTGCCAATTGGGAATGAACCAATAATAGTAGAGCGCCTTCAAACTAACTTTGCCACCCGCCGTACACATGTGCTCGTATGTTGCTTCGCGTATTGAGACGGCGCCGGTAAAGCGGTACAAAATAACATTAACATCTACTCTTATCCTTACATAAATAATTCTGTTTTCTTTTCATCTCCATACTTATACAAGGCAAATTGACTGACAGATGATCACCATATCTCAACAATTATACCACTTAGAATTAATTATCAAACGTGGTCCCTGTATGCTGTAGATGTAATCAACCGGGCGTACGAGATTCTAAATGGGGTGTTTTGAGGTAAAGAAAGCTATTTGTGACTATGCAAGCCTTTATATTTCGGTCTGTATAAGCTGAACCACAGTTTATATGAGTTGGTACCACATATGTGACTGTTTTATATTTTTATAAAAGTTAAAACCCTTGTATTCTCTAAATTAAAATGATGATGACTACTAGTGAATGAGCAGTAGTGTCTCTGTCTGACATCACCATGTTAATGTAATATCTTTTAAATGGTTACCTTATATATTATGTATCGGGTAATGTTTATATCTGTCGTATGAGTCAGAAAAAAATAGGCTATGAATTAAACAGAGTTTCAAAGGAATAATTTAAATCAGGTAATAATTACAAGAAAATATAAGCTTTAGGTTTAGTTCTCTTCAATAACAAATCACATAATATTATGTCAACCAAATCTTAAAATTCTATGTACGAATAAATGACTAAAATCTTACAAAACATTTACACAGTAAATTTACATGATATACCTATCTAAAAAATCCACCCTAACCAAGTCCAATCCAGGAAAGAGGTTATTGGAGGACAAATTGGGGTGGGTTCCTGTGTAGTGTGTGGGGAGCAGATAAGGATTCCTCAAGAAGGGACTAGGGGTTGTAGGTCAGTTTGTGGGTGTGTGGGTGAGAATGTGTGGGTGTTTTGGGTGGAGGGGGAAGCAACCCATCACCTACCCTGTACAATACACCCTTGTCCGTTTTTCCACCCTCACTGCTTGGTACTTTCTAAACTCTAATTATTTTCTCTGTTCCCAAATCTCATTCTTAGATATTTGCACAGTATTTTGTTAACTGAATCAATTAGATAGGCTAGCTATTAATTTTTATTTTTTAAATTCCGAGTTCACATATTTGAATATGATCTCTCTCTGGTAGATACCAAAAATTCATGATTTTTAATAATCACGATCAAAATTGATAGTTTGTTCTAAAAATAAAGTAAATATAAAGGTTATAATCCTCTGATAATTTGTAATAATTACAAACATATTGAATAGTTTAGTTTACGTTTGTTCATTGAATTGATATTTTCATAAAACCGAATAAAATACATAAAAGTATAATTTTACCAAATGTGTGTTCAAATTGGGTTAAATTATGGAAATAAAGTCCTTAATGTATGATTAATTATTACACACTCTGTTGATTGGTATTCCCACATTACTCACTTACTGTCAATGTAAAAGGCTGTAAGTTGACTAAAACAGTTTAAAACACTTATGTATTAAAATGCACTAAGTAGGTTATAATATTTAGGTCTCTAAAGGTCTATAGAGGTAAAATACAAATAAACATTGATATGTTTACTAGTTCTGTAGTATAGGTATGTTATTGAATTATTACTTCTAATTGAAGTTTTCTAAAAAAAAAAGTAAATAATTTTTCTTTAAAAAACTAGGATTATTGATTTTTTATACTAATACTGTACAATTAGTGAGCTAATATTATTTCAAACATGATTTCCTAATTTTGTTTACTCTACAGTTAATATTTTCTAAATTTACAATATTGTTTTTTATTTAATTCTTACGTGTAGGATAGGTATGAAAGTGAGTAGGCACCATCAGTAGAATGTATCACATTGTAGGTCAAGAGCACATTCACCTCCCCTCCCCCCCACCAACCCTTGTCTAGACTAAAGGGCTGCAGATCAATCCCTTTTGGGTTTTATCTTTCATAAAATGTTGCCCTTTTTCAATTATTCAATCTCCAAACATATTTTCTATTGCAATCTTTCATTGCAATATATTTGAAAATAACTTTTTAGCTAATTTTTGTTTGTTCTATTAGATAGAGGAGTAACTTAGTTAAGTGTCCCTTGACGTGACATTCAGTTACATGACCAACAAAAACTGTTGGTGATACTATAATTATTTTCACTCATTAAAATTCACGAGAGGTTACAATTGAATAGGTAGGTTTAGTAAAACATCTTTAACTGTATTGCAGTGATTCATATTATTTATTCTTACTGTAATTCCGGTTATATTGCAGTAGTGAATGAGTTGTATGCGCTGTAGGCCTACACTACAGTGTGCTGATGTTGTGATATCAAATTATGATGACACATTTCCTTCTGCTGTCAGTGAAATTATATCCATCACTTCCCCTCTCTCAGTATGTTGGACATGGATGTGGCAAAATCGCAGTTGGAGGAATTTGCTGTGGCAGTTGGTAAAAAGTGTTAGAGTATTACCGTTGTGCGGTGTTCATTTTGGTAATATTATTGACTATATATCTAATACTTGAGAAGAGATAATGCTGAACATAAGTATTTTAGACAAACCAGAAATGTAGTTTGGCTCGGTGCCTAAACAGGCGACATTCACTGGAGCCTTGAAGACACTGGTATAGACAAGTCAGCCGTTAAACTGTCGTCAGTTTCGGCAGATTTAGTGTCAAACTCAAGGATGTAACCTGGTTCAGTCTGCTATATTTGAAAATACGGTATTCCAAAATTAACATCATGTCTACAAAAACAATGTTTAGGGTGAAGTGTATCGTTAGTGACAAACGCCAACCTAGAATTTTACTGAAACCACATTAAAATAAGAATAATTGCATAGAGTACACATTGTGTTTTATCAATGGTATAAAAAAAAAAAAAATAAGTTTGTAAAATTTTGTAGACCTGATATGATAGTTGATAGTCATCAGTAGGAAATACCCCTGCCCCAGAAATCCTGCAAACTAAATAAATTTCTAAATGGATGAACTAAATACGTTTCCTTACAATGTAGCATATTACTTTAATTCCCTGTTTAAATAACATAATAAAGTTTAACAAGTACTTAGGTTTAGGTTGACATAAATAAGTTAGCCAAATTTGATCAACATACATCCATAAACAAGCAAACTACAACAGTTAAACTTCTCTCCGTAACCTTTAATCATACAACAACACTTAAATATACAATTTTTAAGCTCTAGAAGGGTGGTAATGAAAATTGAGCATATCATGATTTAAAAAAAATGTGAAACCTCATAACATCCTGTTCTTATTACCTGATCTTGCTGGTTCACAAACTTAACGTTTATTCATTCCTACACATTCTTGGCGAATTACACCAATATCTGGCCAAAATTTCTCTAGTTATCGTGTTCTCATTTGAATTCACTGTTGGCATACATTTTTCCAGGAGTTTACCTTTATTGAATGTAGTACATTTATTTTTAGCTCAATGAATAGCTAGTGATAAAAGCCTTGACTTCAAATTTGCAAAATAATTTTTTATATCTATAACAGTTTTTGTTGTTTCAGATCAACAATTGGCAAAGTGGCGAGGAACCATGGTCCCGTGTCAGCCCAGACAACTTGTGATCCTCTCTCTGCCGTTCGCCGCGCTCGTCGCGTTCTTCTGGTTCAAGCGCAGGAAGAGTCTGTCACGCAGTGACCCCGGCGGGACTCCAGTGCGACCGAAACCAGGTGATACTGCAATCAAAGGAGACCCACAGACGAGTGAGGTCATCAAGAAGAAGATCGAGACTGTAGAAGCAATCAAGACAGCTGTAGAAGTGAAGAAACCATCTGTAGAAGAAGCTGTGGTGGCCAAGACAGTCGCCAAAGAAGAGTGTTTCCGAAAATCTATTGAAGAAGAAGCGGCTGAGTTGGTAAAATCTCTTGAAACTGCTTGTGCAGAGATCAAAGAAATTGTATGCAACAGTTCTGCTGTTCAGACCAAAGAAGAAAATCCTTGTCAGGACTTTGAAAACAATCAGATTTTTCACAGCACCATCATCGAGTCTGAGAAAGATTTAGAAGAAAAGCACAACAATTTGGTGCTCATACAAGAGGAAGAAGTTTGTGTAGAAGAAGTCTGCGAGAAAGAAGCAGAAAAGTCCGAACAGTGTTGTGAGTCAAATCACCCTGAAGCTGCAGACCTAGAACAGACTCAAACAGTTGCATTTGAAGATCAAAGTACTTTGGAGTACAATCCTACCAAGAAAACTGTCATAGAAGAGTCTCATACCAGTGAAGCGACAGTGATTGACAACAACTGCGCCTCTAGCAGCACGGACACAGAGAACACGTCAGTGGACACCGGACTGGGCAGTCAAGATCCTTCCACAGTGGAAGAGAACACGATGGCTCAGGGACAGAAGACTGAGAAGAATGAAAGTAACACAACTGGGCTGGAGGAGAAACTGGCGTCATTGGGATTGGACACAACACAACAGCCAGCGCAGCGCAGTGAACGTGATTCAGCCAATCACAGTCCGGCCGAGGTGATGCTGAACAGTCCTGCCATCAGCACCTTCTCAGACGCACACAGTGAGGTTAGTCAATAGTGATACAATAATTAATCTAAAACTTGTAAATTAGGTCCACAGGTTTGATTTTATATGGGAATATTTTGGGTTAAACACAGTCCTTAAATTGATAGCCTGAAAATAATTCAAAAGCTGGTATTTGAGTTGTAGCTTGTGACACGTAAGCTGGCACTTGGGCCTAGCGCGGGCAGTGTTGGCGGGGGAGGGTTGAGGTAAGGAAAAGACCGGACTGCAAACATTTCTGCTGACTCACAGGAGTTGGCTCCTCGTGTTTCATGTGCTTGACTCTACGAGAGTTGCGAGGACATTTGATGCCACCCGCATGACGGCACAATGTTTTGAACTAGAGGCTAGTAGCGATCGGGCAAGTGCCAGCTTACGTGTCACGAACTATAATTCAAAAGGTGAGGTGAACTATTTATATTCTTTTTATTTGGGCGATGAGCTACTGCAATGGTAGTGAATTTGAAAGGTATTTAGTAAGTTAAGCCTAAGTTAATGAAAATTGTACTTATTTTGTTTTTGTTAATCACAGTAATCAACATGATGAAGTTTTGTCTTTTTAATGTAAAGTTAAGCCTGGCCATATACTACGGAATCAAACTGTCGGAAGCAAGTATCGTTTATGGTTGACTAGCATGAAAACTAGCTGTTACCAGATAGAACTGTTTATTTTATACATTTGTATAAGCATCAGCAAACCTGGTAATGTTATGGCTACCCTGTGTGGGAACCAGAGACCTTAAAAACATCGTTTTTGTCGTCTGGAGAGATCAAAAAGAAAATGTACTGTCTAGATGTATTAATGTGATACCCAAGGTAATAGCTCGAGATGAACTTTCTCTCTACAGTAGACGCTCGCTAATCTGACATGTTGAGGACTTTGAATCTGCCGAATTTTTTAATGTCTTTTAAAAACCGCTGTTATTGCCAGACTACCGTTAAATAATAAATTCAACCGATATCTGCCAATCGCTCTAGTCATTTGCCAATGGCTCCCGTCATCTGATGATCATGCTTAAATTATTTAAAACAGAAAAAAAGACCTTTCATACCTTGAGGCCAAAATTACTGAAATTGCCGGACTCTCGGATGCTGGATTAGTGGGCTCTTACTGTACCAAAGTACTAATTAATGAATTCTTTTGGCAAACAGTAAGGTTAGTCAACCCATAACTAACAAGAGTCGTTCTAACATACCTGGGATTCCGACAGTTTGTAACCTAGACAGGGTCTTATGTGCATGCTGACTGCCCATTGTTGCTAGGTCATGAGTTGGTTGAGCCGTTGTGAACCCCTTGACTGCGGGAGACCACCAAAGGTAGAAACGTTTGACTATGGGCCGCACACGTTTGTTCCGATTCCACCTCCTCTCTACCTATGGACCTTTCCTACCTTCCCTGAATGGGTTTGTTGCTTTTATTTTTGTCTGTCAGATAAAGCCGATATGGAAATGGTTCTTTACGGGTGAAGTATATCACACAATGACAAAAAATATTGTACTAGCAATATTGACTAACTTCGTAGGCCTATATGTGGTTGATGTTAGTTCAAATTGTGTTAGGGGCTGCATTGCGTCAATTTATGCTTAGTAAAAAAATATTATACACAGTTTTTGTCGTTAAAGCTGTGGTGTGGCAAATGGCTTGCAAATGAAAATTGTTAGTGGTTTAAATGAATAAACAGAGCCTTGAATATGGTGACAATGAGGTAACTTAATTACAGTAATCTAATGTTTTTCAAAATTTTTACAATTGTTTTTTTTCCAATGCTGCATTCTGCTTATCCAACCTTGTTTGTTGAGGCTGGCTTAGCTCGGATAATCAAATAAACTAGGATAATTGAAATTTTAATGTATTTAAACAATTATAAAATTTAATCATTTTTAAGCCCTTGTAGGGAAGCCAAAGCACAAAGTGGCTCAAATGAAAGATTTGATCAAGATTGTTTTACGAAGAGTCTAAATATTTTACGTAACAACATTTTCAAAAAAAGTAGTCCTACCGTTGTTAGATTACTCTAAAGAATAGCATTAAATGAGAGTTACCTTAGTAAGAATGTTTTATCCATTAATCTTCAAATCATGCTTTTCCAATTCTTTTGAACAATACACATAACGGAATTATGTGTGGTTCATTATTATATTGGTAGGATTTCTGCTGCAACTGTGGGAAGCACCGCTTTATGGGTTAACTGCTTCATCCTAACATCATCATCTCATGTAATCTCAACTAGCTTACTTGAAATAATGTCCAGTTCATGTTTGATTTCTTTTCATCATCATTTTTAAATTTAAATCTACTGTTACAGAAAAGCATTATGTAACCTCTATGTTTTTATATTTTGTTGTTAAAATGTAGTCCAAAAAACAACTTAGTAGACCAGCTTTAATAAATCATATTTATTTACGGATATTAATTTTATTTTGGAGGTAAATCATTTTACACTTTCTCGAACAACACGTGAAAAGTTCTGAATCTAATAGATTTTTTCAAAATATCCTTTTCCTCATCTCCTTGTCTCAAAATGTCTCCTCATTTGTGGCCCAATGAGTGAGCTGTCGTATGGGCTAATGTATGTTCAATGAATTGATATGTGGATAACGTCACCCATATTACTTTGAATCGAAAAATTGTTTGTGACTTACAACACAAATAAAAGTACTTTCTGATGTTGAGTAGCTTACTTATTACATATACGATATACAGTCTGTTCTTTTAATTCCTTTTCTATACAGGGTGAATTTTAAATGAGTTCCCCCCCTACTTTTTTCTACATTTCTTAAGATATCAACTTCGGACCACGTCAGATCATTGTAATGTAGTAATTACTTCATTTTGACTGGATAAACATTTTTGGCCGCCATCTTGGATCCGCCATATTGGATACAAAATTTGTTTTTCAAATGTAAAGGTAGGGTTGTGACCCATTGTTTCAAACTAGAATTTTACGCTGATTACAATGCCGCAATTAGTTTTAAAAAATCTTGATCCGTTCTAAAGTTATGAGGATTTTTTATAACTTTATTTTTAGCCCATTTTAACATTGTGCATTTACAAACTAAGACCATAATCTCAAAATAGTGCTAGATAAAGATAAGTATACACCACCATTTATTGTCGACCAATTATCACTTGGTTATGACGGATGTATTTTTTTGGCCGCCATCTTGGATCTGCCATTTTGAAATGTGATAAATTAATTTAAATATGAAGGTGGTGTTGTGACCCATCATTTCAGACTACTTTTTTATGCTGAATTTAATGCCGCAAATTCGTTTTGCATTTTCATATTTTTTTTTTGAAATATTGGAAATTTAAGTAAGATAATTTTAATATTTCATCAAGTAAGCCTGAGAAACAAAAACGGATTGCGGCATTGAATTCAGCATAAAAAAGTAGTCTGAATTGATGGGTCACAACACCACCTTCATATTTAAATTAATTTATCACATTTCAAAATGGCAGATCCAAGATGGCGGCCAAAAAAATACATTCGTCATAACCAAGTGATAATAGGTCGACAATAAATGGTGGTGTATACTTATCTTTATCTAGCACTATTTTGAGATTATGGTCTTAGTTTGTAAATGCACAATGTTAAAATGGGCTAAAAATAAAGTTATAAAAAGTCCTCATAACTTTAGAACGGATCAAGATTTTTTAAAACTAATTACGGCATTGTAATCAACGTAAAATTCTAGTTTGAAACAATGGGTCACAACCCTACCTTTACATTTGAAAAAAAAATGTTGTATCCAATATGGCGGATCCAAGATGGCGGCCAAAAATGTTTATCCAGTCAAAATGAAGTACTTACTACACTACAATGATCTGACGTGGTCCGAAGTTGATATCTTAAGAAATGTAGAAAAAAGTAGGGGGGGAACTCATTTAAAATTCACCCTGTATATTTAAAGAAAAGAATCTTCTATTTGTTTCATAAGTTTAAAAATAGTTTATTCCTCACAGGATTGAACTTTTATTGTGTTAAGGTGCAGAACAGGTACAACCTCGGACTCTGATGTCCTGGGTTCTTATCCATTCAAATACCTATGGCTTTAGATAGCGGTAATTCTGCTGAACTTCTAGCACTAGCGTGAAAAATGTTTGAAACAGTTTTCTTGGCCTATTATTAAAGAATGTGAAACAAGACATTGATGATATCTCCATGATTAACAATTACCTGAGGTTTTAATATTGTGGTTGTATCCGCAGGGCTCCAGTGACAGTGGGAAAGGTTGCAGTGATGTCGTGACCCCGCCGTCCCGTACCCCCGCGGGGGGCTCCAGTGTGGCGGGGGACCTGGCCCCCTCTGTGTATGAGTTTGTGCTGCCTCAGGTCATAGTAGGCCGGCTCATCGGCCGACATGGAACCTTCCTACACGACATACGCGCCAAGACACATACACACGTCTTCATAAAAAAACACCCGGAAACTAGCAGCCTCAAGATTTGTGCTATTGAAGGTGGGTGCTTGTTTCCTAATATTTGTTGGTAATAGATAATAAACAACAGACAATTCTATTTATTTGTGATTTCTCAAAGAAATACAATGGTGTCAACAAATGCAGGTACTTCTTGCTGTACAGAAGTAAAATTTGTTATAATTTCTCCTAAAACTTTTATCGAGTAAAAAAGGTTGTTTTACCAGTCAGATCTTATTACAATGTAATTTAAAAGGGTTTTTTTGAATTGTGTTGTATGGTTGACGGTAAGACTGAAGTCGGTAGCTGTTCCAGTGCTATAGGAGTGGAAGTCTTGATTCCTTGAAAAGTCCAGGTTATCTTTTCATTAGAACTTAATGGGTATTAAAGGTTTTTGGAGTTGAAAGGGGTGATGTTTTAAAAGCATAGCTGCAGCTGTCAGTGAAGGCAGGGTTGGAGAGTGCCCTCACAGGCTTATTTTGGATAACCGTGTTGCGTTTTATGTTCTAATCATTAATATTGAAGCCGTGAACTGTATAGGAAACATACCTTATTGTCTCAACTGCAATTGCAATGCTTTAATATTTTATTGTTATTTCACTTGGTTTGCTGTATAGGCTAATATCCCAAGGATAACCTCAGAATTTTACCTTGATTTAAACTTTGTTAAAAAGTCTGAGCTGTTTATGACCTAAATTTAATTAATGCTCAGTCTTGAATACCTCTGTGAACTTTTCTGAAGAGAATAGTTCACATCTTCCGCGGAGGAAACTTGCTGGCAAGGAAACTTTCTGGAAATAATTGGTTTGTCAAGAAGGGATTAAAGAGACGAGCTAGAATAATACAATTTATGACACCAAAGTACACAAATTTGTTTAACATTCATTTCATTTACTTTAATTGAACCAAAATAAGGCAGCAAACTTGGTGACATCTTCACATGAGTAGCTTATTTATCATCCTAAAACCTTTGCCTTACAATTGGATTTTCAACGTAAATAAAATTGTGAACACAGAATATCAAGAACACCATTCCAATGACGTCTGTGAACCAAACACTTGTCGAGCCACACCTGCTGTTTGTAGTTAATTGCAAAAAATGTGTGCTTATCACCATTGCATACACAATTGTGTCAACGCTACGATATCATCGACTCTCTTCTCGCCTTGGTGTGACTTATTCGTCGTTACTATCATAGAGTTGTGGGGAATCTTTTACAGCTGGTAGGTTTGTGGTAAGATTATATGTGTAGTAAGCAAACTTTTGGGATATTTAAATGAGTTTTTTGCTCCTAAGAATGCTAGGATTAGTTCAGTTTGCTAGGAAAGTAGGGAAACTTTCCTTGTACTTTTTTTAATTTTTTCAATTGGGTATGTGTGTGTGTTTGGGATATTGCTAACTGTTAATATCAGTAAAACTGCATTTGAGAAGGTTAGGTTATGTTTTTATGGTTCAGGCGATATGATTCAATCAAACAGCTGTTCACCAATAAGTATCAATAGTGTGCAACTCAGTAAACAAAGTCAAGACTAAAAAAATAATTTGTTTCAAAATCAAATAGGTAATTTTTTAATCTGCCACCTTTTTGTTCCAACAAATGTTTGAACAAAAAAGAAGCTGAAATGTTTACAAAATATTTTCAAAACCTATTTTTAATCAATTGTATTACGTTTAAAAAAAGGCATAAAGGTGCATAAACACTTAACAGTCAAGTAATATAAGATCAATTGACTAAACCTCTTTGCGGGACACCCTGTATAATAAGATACCTTGGCTGTGAGTATAAACAGTAATTAATTGTAAAACTGGATCTTTTACCAGGAACCCAACAAGACATTGATGCAGCTTTGAAGATGATTCGACAGAAGTTTCCCATCAGGAGATTCCCAGACCTTACCTTGGAGAAGGTGTCTTTTGTCAAGGACCCATGCATGCCCATGGATTTTGAAAGCCTGCAAGTAAGTTTCTTTATAATGTGTAAATAATGTATCTGGCAAAAATGTTCCAGTATGACATGCCAATTAATCTAATTTGTCTAGTCTTGATGTTGTCTTTGCTTTGGCGCAAGATTTTTTTTTTTTGAGGGAAATCTTGTTTCAGGGTGATTAGGTATTTTAAGCTTTAATTGTTGATTTAAATACGAGGGGACCCGTGCGCAAATATCTATAGTTTTTTATAATATTCTAATGTCCAAAAGACCTTTAAAATTATATGCGTTTTTATGCAGAGCTTTACATTTTAAACTTATGAAATGCCCCCAAAATACTCCATTTTGGGTTCCCAGACAAAATTATTGTCATAATAACCAAAAAATCACACTTTTACACCATATAAAGGTGGGAAGGGGAGAGTGAACTGATTTTTTTCTGTTTTTTTCCCGCTAGCTGCACCTGGTGGAAGGAGTCAACAACGACGTGATCCTCTCAAGCCTCATCACTGCAGGCAACTTCTTCCTACAGATGCCTTCGCATCTCTCCTACCAGTGCCTTTACAAGCTGGCTTGCCTGATGAACACTGTGTACAACACGCAGGAAAGCCCCGCGTTGGTGGAGCCGCAGCCCAACGTGGTCTGCGTGGCGCCTGCGCACGGTGGCTGGTACCGTGCGCAGATCATGACTGTGGACGAGGAGACCAACACCACAGAAGTCAAGTTTCTGGACTACGGTGGATACATGACGGTGGATAACTCTTGTCTACGTCAAATACGTGGAGACTTCCTCATGCTACCTTTCCAGGCCGTGGAGTGTGTCTTGGCCAATGTCGTACCTGCAGGTAAAGATAAGAAATGAAATGAAATGTTTATTTGTTACATAGAATTTTTATTTCATTGTAGTTAGTAATATATTGAATAATAAGGTAAGAAGTTTATTTTTTAATACATTACTAACTTTATGATCATTATAACTTCATCATCCACGGTAAATAGGATGGGGAATGCGGTTCGGGAAAATGTTCTTAGCCAAGAACGTGTTAAGAATTTAATGGGATAGCAGATTTTTACAATTTCACCAAGATTTTGGGGTGGTCATGTACAATATTACTGTACGTAAACCGATTTTATTATTATAATGATTTTAAAATGTCATTCGTTACACTTTCCAAAGCAACACAATTTTCCTACTATCCCTGAGGGCAAATATTTTTTACCTGACCTGACCCCACCCAAAACATAAGTCAGTATTACCAACAGCTTGATGTTGTAGGTGGTGAGGAGTGTTGGTCAGAAGAAGCCAGACAGTTTGTCCAACTGATGACTACCAACCAGACACTTCAGGCGCAGGTGTACGACTACACAGAAGCAGGGCTGCCACTCGTCTACCTATATTGTACCCAGTTCTACCAATCCCTCACAGACCCGGTAAGTTAAATAGTGATTCTCAATTTGTTGTTTGCAATTAATTATTAAGTATTCCTGTTGAGAAATAAAATACTCTAAATATTGTACAGTAGACCCCCTCTTAACCGACCTCGTATTAACCGATAATCGGATTATCCGCCTTCGATAGTAAAATAATACAATTTGTTTTAACCGACCTTGCTTTGAGAGCAGTTCGTTTTGACCGCCGCATTCTAGGAATCTCGGCATTTCCGCTCCTACGCTGGGCGATGAGAACTGAACCATACGCTTATCTCCACAGGATATGACTAAGATTAAGTTATTTTGTATTGATAACAAAAAATATAGCATAATGTCAGTTTGTTATCTTTGCGGAAAATTTATAACATCGGAAAGTGCGTTACAATTTTGAGAACTGATTATCTTATCGCTGGAGTAAACAAACAACGCAACTTGTAGGGAGGGAAGGTTAACAACTCCAAGGTTAAGATAGTTTTGTGCCTCAAGCCTCCAGTGAGAGGCTATAAATAAACATCCTGTCTTGTAACAATATGGTTGCTTGTATCTTTAATTTTGACAAAAGGTTCTGTACTGTATGGATTTGGAAAGCATCAATACATTACAATACTAAAGTTATTAAAATGGGAATTTTTATCGACTCGTGCCTAGTACTATAATATATTCCACTGAAAGTAGGCCTATTTGGCTTAATCGTGTTTTGTGTTTATTTTTTTACTTTTCTATCAAAACGAAAAAGGAGATAAGAGTAGTTTATTTTATAAATAATGCAAGTATGACTTCAAAATAATGATTATATAATTCCAAATGAATAGCACTTCATTATGTTATGATTTTAGGGATTGCCCGTTTTAACCGACCTTTTGAGTTATCCGACCTAGGTCCGGTCATAAGGGTCGGTTAAGAGGGGGTCTACTGTACAATTCGGATGGCTTGTAGGACGAGGGCTTCCAACAAGTTGGAGAGAGTACAAGCCAGTGCTGAGAGTCACAGGACTAAACAATATTCTGGACATTCTATGGCCAACCAAGAGTTGGGTCACCATCCTAAACTGGGCATAGTATATGGGTGGGGCGGCTACCTTTATTACCAAAGCCAATGACTACTGAAACCTAAGACGTGACATAGCAGTATTAAAAATGTCCACGCTTTACGAGTGAGTTGGGCGACCGCGGGTGGGTGCTCTTCCTAGAAAAACCAGTTGTGGCGGAGTATTCAGTTTTGCTGCTACGGGTAAAATCAACATAAACATCTTTTATCTTCAAATATCAATATACCAGTACTAGATGAAGCCACATGCCAAGTTTCATCAGTATACATTCTTAAGTAATTGAGATATCAAATTTTAATTAGTCTCCATAAGAATAACATTAGACAACGTACGGTGTTTAGCACTTTAAATGTCTCCGCAACGGTCGGACGTAGAATAAAAATTTGGACACTAAAATGATTGTTTTAACAGATTTTTTAAACCAATATGAAGTTTTCAGAAAAATTTACCGAGGAAAAGCTAAAAAGCAGAAAGTCAAGCTCTGCGAACAACACGCTTTCTTGCGGACGATCACCAAACTACTTGCAAACCTGATATTTGGGCGCCTGAAGTGTGTAGACTATTTCCCAACTGTCGTGTCTTAGTAGGTCTATTGCTGCCGCTCAACAGGGTTCACGCTAAAGGAGACTAGAAGGCCAATGACAAGTAATTTTTGTTAGTTTCAAAAATCAAATGAAGCAATAACAAATTGTGGTCTATCCAAAAAATGTCTGTTGATTTTATAACAGATTTTCCACCGGTAGAACATATTTCTTTGGCCTACTGTAAAATTTCTGTTACGTTTGACTTCTGTGAAAAAAAATGAAAACGTGAAAATTAAGGTCCAGGGGTTAATAGAAGAATTAAATTTAAGAACTCTGGTTTGATAATGTTTGATTCCCTCTTCTTATTCAAAACAGCTCCATGTCATCCACTTCAAGCAATACTAAAAAAATTGCTATAATACTAGATTTAAAATCAACAAACATTGGGTCTAGTAGTACTATATTTTGAGTAGGTCTTTTCTTTATTGGCCTATTTGTATTTATTGTTGACAGTTCTTTTGTGTTAAATGAATAATGGTTTGATGAATCGCTGTTACTCGTAACAGAACAGAAAGTTGTACATTGTTTGTGTTGCAGAGCGGTTACGAGACCAAAGTGGTGTTGTTGAACCAAGAGCTCGTTTCTCAAGGCTACGCAGACGTCATACAAGAGGACCAAGCCACGGAGCCTGAGTCTTCTTAGTTCCACTCTGTACATAACTCTCGATTGTTAACTATTTGTACAAATTCTCGGTTAGATTAAGCCCCCGTTTGGTCAGATAAAAGGTTACGTTGCATTTTTCGTTCTGTCTGACAGATCGACAGATGATTTTGACGAATGCAAGAGCGGATTCGACATTTTCCTGATTTTTTTTGTTTTTTGAATCCTATATTTTGTTAGTTTTATCGTTAAGTTTTGTCTCTGTCGGTCGACAGTATTTTTCCCTTTAACCTGTTACTTTTAGTTTTCATATTGTGATATAATTTGTACATTTTTTAAGTTTTACATTTATCTACTTAGTCCAGTTTTAATGGTCAGAGCTAAGTATTTATTTTTTGTCGGTTGAATTGTACGACCACAGAAATAGTTGGAAACTACACAGTAAAAATTAAATTTTTAAAAAGGTTCTATGCATTTCTTGGATAGATTTGGGACAGGAAATTATTGGTATTGACGTTGTTGTATTCTTGTCATACTGTTAAATGGTACATAATATTACATTTGATCCAAACAATATAAATTTGACTTGTTGTAACGGTATCTCTTTTCTACGGTCGTGTTTTTGTTGTCTTGGGAATGACAAATGGTGGAACACTTGACTATTTAAATATTTTGTGCTTGTGATCGGTTAAATTTGACCTTTTTGCTACTTATGGTGCTTTCAGTAGATTTGAGAAGCAATTTGTATCGAAGCTACAACAAAAGTTACTACTGTGTGTGTAATTTAGATGTATCTTCTTTTCGCTTGCTCGTGTTTATTGAATTTCAAGAGAAGAAATATTTATTGACACATGAGGTCTTGTGATCTTTGATTCAACAGGATTGTGAATGTGAAATCAGTTAACTAAATTGTCAACAAAATATTCACTGGCGATGCAAGATGTCGATAACCAGGAAAGATCACTGAAAGAATCCTCATTCATTACTTGTATCTCTGTAAACATAGTTAAATGTCAATGTCAACAAGTCGTGCTCAAGCACATATTGTTGAAAAGCATACCATATTACCTTAATTTATTAAAATTGTAATTGCAATGACGCAAGTTATAAACGTAATCAGTTACTAGTTACTACATAAAGAGTCAATCCTACTTTCATAAAATCTTATTTTACGTTGAAAACACTTAATTTCGTTGTGTGTACAAATAGAACGAATATTTGCTTGATATGTTTCTGTTAAAAAGATTAATAAAAATTCCTTGTAAAAATATACGTTGTAAAATTTGTTTTATTTTTTAGAAACGATTTTCATTGTTTTTTATCTTATTAATCAGATTGTATACGTGCCAAATGTTATTTTCTTCTGATTGAGCATTTATTTGTTACTGCCACGTTAGTCATCCCGTTCAGTACTTTAATCAACAAACATGGGTATTTGATAGAATATGTTATGTTAATATAATTCATAGTAGTGGTTTTTTATGTGTTTTCCCATGTTACTAGTTCCCTTGTACTTGTGGTATAAATATTTTGTACATATTCATTTATTATTTGTAAAATAAAATAAAACTTTCTAATTTAATTTGTGTTTTGTTGTACTCTCTTGAATGTTTTAAGTTTATGATAGTCTTTAAATCTGCAATAATCTTTTAAATTGTGTTTGCATATTTTAAATATTTTTATAAGTATCTGAGTGTAAGGATGAAAACACACTGGTATAGGCTGTAGAAAAATCCTTTTATCACCACACTATGATGTTTTTAGCTGTTTTACAGACCTTATTTGGAGGCTAGGGTCCTAAAATCAGCGGTTCGCTTATTTACTTAAAATATTAAATAAGTACACACACAGTATCCATATGCATTGCTATAGACTTGTTTTATTGTCACCGCTGCACTACTTTAGCAACTATTTATTGACATTTTTGCTGATTGATCTGACCTTAAAGATGTAGTTGTGTTGACTGTAGTGTGCATTTGTATATAGGCTATTTTCTCAATTTTGTATAGTGTGGTGAATAATGGGGTTCGTACCACGGGCTGAATAAGTTTTGCAGCTGTCAATCGTTTTAAGTTCTTTCTCGAGCCGGCAACACCTCATTTTCGGCTCTAGGTACCATTATACGATTCCAAGGGGTTGGTGACAGATTTTAGGGTGGAAATCATATGTCAGTTATTAGCAATATGGCTAACTGATGTTTTTAATCCGGACTATGTGGTGATAACTGATAAGTATTTATCAGAATCAATATCATGGAAATCAGAATATTGCAACCCAACACTTTTTTGATGCAATAACTCTCTCCGGACGGGTGAGTCTGCATTTTTTACATTGGCATGCCGTGCTCTGGCACGGCACTTTGTTGCCCACACAATTGATCTTCAGTTTAGCCTGCAACTTACAAATTACAAATTACTAGCATAATTGCATCGTCTTTTCGTACAAATTATATGCAGAACACTCACATATGTCATGTTTAAAGGACATAATTAATTAAAAAAAATATAAACTAGACAGCACTAAACCACCTTAGGTCAGTCCAGTTCTTGCACTTCTGCCGTTTAGATATACGCCGGCAGGGCTGTTGGTTCACAGGACTGTGGTGGAAATCTTATAAATTATTTTAATTTATCTCAGAGCCAAAGGTGTGTGCCTATCTTTTCCATAACCCCTTATGGGAAAGATAGATGAATTTAGAATAACCATTATGGTATGGAAAAACCCCCAGTAAAAAGGGCTTTCCAAGAGGTCTTGCCCTAGAAAAGTTACAAAAAATGTAGGTACAAAGTAGTTGATTTTAAGAAATATTTGTAACCAAATTTACTACTAGCAATTGGCCAATAGTGATATGTGACGTGTGATGAACACGCGGGACTAGTAAGACGGCGTGCTTCAGCAGCTGTGGTAGTGTGATAAATCTGACTGAAGTGACGATTGACCCACCACACTAGACCTAGCGACTCTTGGCGTTAAATAAACTCAATGGCTAATTGCTCTTGATTGGACCATTCATTGGGCTATCGACATCGGGGGTGGCAAATGTACACGAACGGCCAACAAGCGGCTTACTGTGGTGGAAGGGATAGTTCCATGAGTCCATGTGTTAAAACAGATAGGGAGGACCGAGGAGATGTATAATTCTCAGCTGTAGTGCTGATTTAGAGCATGTCCGTAGACCAGGTGGGGTCATATGAGCCTCAGTCTACTGCAAAGAGAGGTAAAGCGAATGAACTTCATCCTGTATCTGAGACAGGGCAGACCCCACCCCAGGCTGTAGTAACAGTTGGGATCATGATAACCCATCCTGCAGTGAAGACCAAGTGTGGCCGATGCTTCAGCTTGTAACTGCTCGGTGGGTGATCCAAACCCTAGTCTACAATGGCAGGTGTATTCCGTCAAAGTACCGCGATAACGCAAGTATCAGATCTCCGTGTTTTACTTACATGTGGACATGTAGATGAGTCCAGGTGGAAGGTCATCACGTCGCTCACTGTGATCGAACGTTGAAGGGGGCAGTTACAGGGATCCGTGTAATGTGCAGAATTCCCAGACAGCAGTGACCGATGGGGAAATTAACACCAGATTGTGGTAAAGACGAACTGATAGACGATAGGCGGTGCCGTAGGTATAGTACGTAGGTGGCGACTAATGTCCATGAATCACCACCACATTGATCACTGCAGTGGAAGGGGCCTAAAAGACCGATCCGAAACTGTATCGCAAACAGCTTTGCAAACTGTCATGTCGGCCTTAGTCACTATAAAGGCTACAAGATCGTGCCACTCATCCTACACTCATTTCCGTTCATATTTGGCTTAAAATACCTACTTTGAATGGTCACCATTTCATTGAAAAAGTAAGTAAAAGTAAATGGAACAACATTTTCATATCAAGATGTTTGCTCTTTCATGTTCTTCCAATGGGTAAAACAGTTTCCTTACCCTTAAAAGGATGTAGCCTATAGTAGATAAGAGTGAGTATATTATTTTCTTCCTATCAGTACTGACCGAATGAATTGCCAGGCTCTCATCCCAGATTGTACTGATAATATGTCTAATTACAGAAAAATGCATGTACTCAACAAAATTGTTCTCAACATTTTGTAATTTCCTTAAGTAGAGAGAAACCTGTAAGAAAACAAATATTTGAACATTGGTCCTCATAATGATTTGTTTTAACTTGCAAATACAGTACTGTCATCAAGTCAAGAATAGTTAAGATAAGGCGCTGAATTCACTGCAAATTGCGAAAAGTTAATACTAATAAATGCTAAAGTGAATAAATTAACTTAAACATATAATATTACTGTATTTACTTTAAGCTTTAAATAATTTTTTAAATAAGCTAAGACTGAATAAAATTTGACATAGATAACTTTAGTTCAATCAATTCAGTTCAGATAGCAGCACAAGTTGAACAGACTAAGCATATGCTGCCATTGGTGAGTAAAACTAGAACTAGGTGAGTAGCTTTTAGATTGAGCATAATTGTTATTCTTGAAAAATGGTGATTTCTCATTAGCTTAATTTAAAATAAAGAAGTTTGTACAAACAGAGTCAATTACCGGTACTTCTTAGTGAACCGTTTCTTGTCTTCAGTAACTAAGCTACACAGATCATATACACTCACCATGCATATACATTCAGCTCAAAACTTACAAAATAACTATTGATACACTGATATCATAGACAAAAAGAATTAAATATAGACTGTCAGCTGCGCTGCGGTTACCATGGTTACTATAGGTTCTCGCGCACACCGCTGGGAGCGCCATGTAGTTACGGCTTACGAGCTACTGTACGTAACTACACGGCGCTTACAGCGGTCTGCGCCAGAACCTATAGTAACCATGGTAACCGCAGCACAGCTGACGGTCTATATTTAATTCTTTTTGTCTATGCTGATATTAACCTGACATATTCAACTTATTCAGCCCTCTTTAGGAAGCTTACTTACAATTTTATAAATTGTTTTAGATACATCAGCTGTTAAATTGAAGAGAGCATATGCAAAAGTCGTATGCTCGGTTTGGTATTCCGCTCTGCTAGACATGGTTTGAGCAACCATGCCTGTATTATCCTATACAAGTCTCTCATCCTGCAGCTACTCGAGTATGCTTCCTTGGTTTGGTCACCATACCATCTTGGCCATATTTACCATCTTCAGTCGGTACAAAGACGCTTCATCAGGTTCCTGGGATGTCGTGCTGGACTTGACTTTCGTGACGTCCGGGTAGACGAGCTCTCTAATATCTATGGCATTCCGAGTCTTGAAAACAGAAGGCGAGTGGCTGATGTGACCTTTCTCTACAAACTGGTAAATAACCAAGTCAACTGCCCCTTCTTGCTGGAAAGGATAAACTTCCATGTTCCTTCGAGAATCACGAGACATCAGCGTGTATTTGAACTTGACCATACTGGGACCAACTACGCCAGATCTAGTCCCATTCCCCGGATTATGCGCCTTGGGAATGTGATAAGCAGCTCTGTGGACCTTTTAACTGCCTCCTTGGGAGTGGTTCGGCGTTCTGCGGCTGACAGCATCCTTGAGGGTACCCCATAAAAGCATTGTTGTTATTCCTTTGTTGTTGATTTTTCTCATGTTAATATTTGTGATCTATTTTGTTTGTATTCTTGTTATTGATATATTCATTGTTATGTTTTGTTATTGTTATATTTTTTATACATTGTTATATTTTTTTATACATTGTTACTCCTCTGTTAATTATTAAATCTTTATAATATTCGTAACTACTTAATGTAAAATGGTGTTTGCCGTTGGTGTTTAATAAATAAATAAATAAATAAATAAAAGTCGTGGAAACCAATTCTGACTTATAATGACTAATAATAATAATAATTCTAATAATGACTGCATCCAAAAATATTATGTGGACGAATTAAAATGTCTAACTGCACCTCATAAATGGTCGAAAAATAAAGTGAATATATTTAATTCTAATAATAACGCGTTTTCATGTTGAAATTATATTTTTTATTTGGAAGTTGTGTTTACCTCGGAATTTTCTTAGTAATTCAGCTCGACATTTCCCCTTATATTAATGAGATGGTTGTTTTACATTATAAACTAACATGAAAATAATAAAAGAGAATGTTGAAAAAATTTTAAGTGTTTGCTTGGGATGAACAATATTTCTTCTAATTTATTAACATGGTTTTGAATAAATTATGCTACTAAACCTTCATAAAAAACATGATAAAAATGTCCCTAAAAATTTTTCATCTGAAGATTGTTTAAAGCCCAAATCTGTTGTGTCAATTAAACGATTTAATTACTGCAATATCATGTAATTTTCAGAGGAAACGTTTCAAGTCCATTGAAAAATACCTAAAGTGAAGAATACAATACTTTTAGTGAGTTAAATCTGATCACAACAAAGATGGACAGTATTATTTCCTAAGAAGTCGGCTGAAGATTGATTTTAAATATCCGCTTTGTCAGCGAAGCTGATTCAAGAAATCTCAGAAATGATGTAAAAGGTTTACTGGGATCCTCAACTTCTAAGCTGTCATTTTTTAAATTGATTAAAAATATTGTTTAATTCTTGCGTTTCTTCCTGAT